ACTTAGTAAGGAGCGATTCCGGATGATACGAAAACCAGCGGAAATATCTAAATGGTTTGTTTGACAACAGCGCAGTCAATTTCGTCGGGCACCACTAATAATGGCACAATAGATGGATCACTGAATCCTTGGATAGAAAAACTGTTTGTTTCATTCCCCGAAGGAACCGTCCGAACTAGTTCCCTGCGAGGAACTTGCCTGGCACAAAACTTTACGCGAAATAACTCAAAGTCTATATATACGGGGCTGGCCGGTCATTTATGATTCTATATGTAGGCTATGGTCGTTATAATTGAAAACCCTTTTGACGTATGCCAATACTAGAATACAGCTGGAAGTATATATGTTCTTATCGTACGTAGTACAATGCAAACACGACCGCCGAAAAATCAAGACCTACCATTGGAATGGACTAAAGAATGGATCGGGACATCATCTTTCAACAACATGATCGGATTGGACCGGAGAAATATTCAGACTGCGTAGAAATAACTCGCATCAACAAAGAAAGAATACTTGTTTGCCATGAGCAAAGCGACTTTGACTTGAAGGTTTTTTGTCTGTCAATTATTCGGTCCAGAATACCGCAAGCAGCCAAGAATAATTATCATACTCACAAGCTGACTTTGACTCACTCTACCACGGATGTATAGACGATTCTAAGTAATTGATAGGATGTCCGAATATTTAGATACTAGTACCTGTGATTGCTTCCATTACACTGACCCGCGGGAAAGTTACAGACTCATGCCGACGGCAATTCAAATTGGAGTCTTCCTCAAGTTCGTTCATTGGTCCACTGGCATATCTTTTCCAGGCAATCCTTCCTTCTCGTTGTCCTTCTCCTCAAGCTTTTCCACCAGATTTCTACACAATCTCCGAGGTACTAGTTTTTACTGTAAAAATGAGTTTGAGATAGTATCCCTTCTGTGTGTGGGGCTGCAGAAGAAAGCTATTCCTGCTGGCTGGACGAACACGTACGCGCCATTTGCGGCGCCAACTTTGCGTCGGACTGCTGTTTTCAGCTGCCGAGAACCACGCCTCACTTAAATGAATTCTGCGGTCTCCCGACCCTAGCATCGAAGGATCCCCCGGGTGCTGATAAAGTCAATAACGAAAGCTATCGATGTAATACAGTAACCTAACTAACGTGTTTGTCGAATTATACGGTTCTACTCTATGCTGCCAGACTTTGAACGATCCCAGCTCTATTCAAACCCCACCTCAGCCCACCCCTCACCACCGTTGCTCCTCCTCCATCTTCACACCCTCAAACTCCATAAACTTCCTCTCCTCCAACAGCGGCACATTCTGGAACGATAATGGCATCGGTGTATGTATCACTGGTGACGGCGCCGACCCACCATCCGATTCGCAGGTGGATATCGGCGAGGTGTCCGTCGACCCAGAGAACGACGACGAGGAGGAGCCGGACGCGGCGAGTGCAAGCTGGGGTGGGTACGCATCACCGAGGCTGAGGTTTTGGAAGCCGTATGTAGGCATGGGCTGGGAGGGGTTGTTGTAGATAGCATCTAGGCTGCGGTGGTGATTGTGGTGGTGGGGCATGGTGGAGCTCGGGGGCTGATAGTATCCATATCGTGAGAATGCTTGTGAGGGATACAGAGGTTCCTCGACGTTATAAGGAAGCGCAGATTGGCTTTGAGCTCTCCGAATGGACTGCCACTGACTTGGCGGTGGGGGTTGGCCACCATCTGAATACGCTGGAGGCGGAGGTAGCTGCAGCTGCGACGGCGGGAACGAATCGATCACCGGTGAACCAGAAAGAGAAGCTGGCTGGGAATGCGACTGATATGGCACATATTGTTGGAGTGGCTGGCTCGTAAGCTGAAATGGTTGTGGGGGGGAGTGCACTGATGGAGACGCCGAGAGATCGTAGGAGATCAGATTGTGACTCTGCTGTCGTAGAAAATGGTGATATTCTCTTTCTCGCTGCTTCTCTTGGTGTATCTTGGAACCGCGCAAATCGATGCTGGACACTGCAGTTCGCAGCTTTGGAGTGGCCACATTTCCGCGCGCGCGCGTTTCCCTGCTCGTGTACTGGCAAATCAAGCCACGGGTGGTACAGCGTTTGCAGACCGGCTTTTCGCCGGAACACTGTATCAAGGTATCAAGGGTTAGACGATCACAAGCTTAATTAGAGCAATCGATTGACCTTGGTTTTCCGCTCTCTACACTTGTCACAGGCTTGCTGTGTCCGCTGGCGCATGGACGTGTTTGCGAAAGAAAAACTGGCTGGAGAGCTGAAGAAATCGTCGGCAGAGTTAGAGACCATGGTGGTAACAACGAAAAATAATCCGTAGCAAGTCACCCCTAATTTTGAAGTTGCAGTATTATAGTGTCTTCCGTCTTTCGCCATTTTAAGCTGATCGAAGATCGCAAACGGGATATTTATCATGATGATGATGTACACATTCACCTACGTCCACTAATAATACATCCGACCACACGGAGGAGAAAAATAAGAACTAAGACCTTGACTTGGCGAACTGAGCGTTGAATTCTCGGCCTATGAGCATGCGTCGGATTTCCTGGGTACCGGCGCCAACAGCATAAAGTCTCGAATCGCGTAGAATCCTACCCATAGGGTAATCTGAAGGATTTGTCAATTAAGTGCCTGTACGATCAGGGCGAGAGACTTGAGTGCGATTGTCGCGCGCGTAGGTACATACCATTCACATATCCATTCCCACCAAGACATTGCATCCCCTCGAGCGCAACTTCAACGGCCTTCTCAGTGGAGTACAGAATAGCTCCTGCGCAGTCCTATAGAAAAGATCAAGTCAGATGGTGGAAAAACGTTCTAGCTCCAGAAAAGGGGGCATCCACGAGCTATCATAGGAGCCTCCGGAGGGACTGAAACCGATCGCCCAATTCAGTGTTCAAGATGAAGAGCGTGCAACGGCATGTGCAACTGCCATCGAAGACGTGCGAGATTTTCGGGGCAGGGCACTCAGCAAGTCTTAGTACTTACCGATCTGCTGACCCTTCCGGCGTCGCATGCCTTTGCCACGGCATAGACGTATGAACGGCTTGCATTGAGTTTAGTATACATGTCTGCTATCTTTCCTGGAGATGAGAACTATCAATTGAAAACCAGAAACAAATGAAATAGACCCTGCCTTGCATGAGCTGGAACTCCCCTATGGGCTGCCCAAATTGCTTCCGCTCGTGAACATACTCGATTGCGTAGTCGAATGCGGCCTGCATGAGACTGTAGCAAGGTTGAGTTCAGAACGGAGGCCAGGCAATTGGTACAGACCCAAGTGGCCCTCCACTCAAGACAAGCCTCTCGAGGTCCAGGCCTGACATCAAAACTTTGGCGCCCCTGTTGACCTCCCCGAGCACGTTTTCTGCACAGCATGGTAAATTAAAAGCCGGACCACAAGAATAGGAACACAACCGACCGTCCGGTACAAAACAGTCCTCGAAAATTAATTCGCAGGTATCGCTCCCTCTCATTCCGAACTTGTCCAGTTTCTCACCGGTAGAGAAACCTTCCGAGTCACGCTCAAGCAATGAAGGCAGTGATTCCCTTTGAGGGATTAGGATCATCGAGAGGAACAGTCTTGGCGTAGACGACAAAAGTAGACGCAATAGGACCGTTGGTAATCCTAGACATCGTTACAATCCAGAAGCGTTGAATTGACACATAGAAACTGACCAAAACTTATTGCCATTCAATTTGTACCCTCCGGATACTTTCTCCGCTTTGAGTCGCATGCTGACGACATCGCTTCCACTACCTGTTTCACTCATCGCCAAGGAACCAACTTTTTCACCGGTAATCAAGTCCGGAAGGTATTTCTCCTAGAGAAACAGTTAATTGAGGCGAAATTTCAAGTAAAGTATTGACCTTTTGCGTTCTCTGTTCCCCACCGATGGATCTGATTTACGCAGAGGTTGGAATGAGCACCGTAGGACAGGGCGACGCTGCCGGAAGCCTCGGATAACGCTTCCATAGCTAAGAGATGGTGCATATATCCCAGTCCAAGACCAGAATACTGTGGTGCGACAGTGATACCAAGGAGTCCCATAGATCCGAGTGCAGGGAATAGTTCCTAGACCACAGATTAGTTGTCTCTTCGGGCCTCGTTTGAAAGACAGTGTACGAGAGGAAACTTGTTGGACTTGTCTATTTCTGCAGCACGCGGGGCGATCTCTTTCTGTGCGAATTCCGTTACAGCAGACCTAAACTGAAGAAGGCGTGGGTTACGGCTAGTACATCAAGGACGTAGAACGCCGCGTACCTCTGTCTCATCATCGCTCAAACCAGCCACGTCTGTGTTGTAGTACGAAGATACCAGCCGTCTTGAAGTACGTATACCGGAAGGCCAAATGACTCGACGAGCAGGCCGTGAGAGAAGAGACCCCAGGGAAAGGACAACCATGTTCAAGTTTAACTGTACAGTTTACCCCGCACTGGAGGAGAGCGTGACGATGATCGGTTGGTCACACTCGAAACCGATCAGTCACATCCTCGTGCATTCTTCAAGTTCCTGCCTCTTCAGCGTTTGTTCGACTGCCGGTGCCTAGGGTCGCGCACGGAAACCTAGGGTTTGATACACTATGGTTTTGGACCGGTAAGTTCAATTTGCCTCCCCCCGCTGGAGGGGTTTTCATCGAGGTAAATTACCTGTGATGATGCAGGAGCAACAAAATTACTCTCATATTGAACTCTACTAAGATACATTTGTGTTTACGAAATAAAGTTTTGTTCTGTAATAACTGAATTATAGCTCAAGGAAGGAGAAAATACTCAAAAAACGCGAAGATAAAGATTCTGAGACATTGTTGCGCGTCAATCATGTGATATTTTCACGTGATACGTAACTAATGTTAAATTGCCGTATCAAAACACCCTCTGAGGGAGGTTCGGTCCAAAAGAATGTATTACCCCCTGGAGGCCTCCATGCGCACTGCGCAGCCTTACCATTACCCTCGTTTGTCAAAAAGAAAAGGTAAACCTGAACGAAAAGTTATGGGGAAACCCGGGATCGAACCAGGGACCTTTAGAACATACTGAGAAACTTCAGTCTACTGCTCTCCCAGCTGAGCTATTCCCCCACTAATAATTGGTAGGAAATAAGCAAGACACATATTGCGATCTCTAAACGGACCCTCATGCTAGTGGCAATGCAAACTACTCAGTACAGTTGGAAAACAGTATAGATGCATACCAAGAAATTTTTGAGAGATGATTCCCATGTAACGCTAATAAAACCAGGCCGTTAGCTGACACTACGATGGTGATACCTTGAACATAATATCTTTCACCACACAGTTCATTTCTTGCTCTGCGAAGGCTCTGGTATTTCGAACAAGACACAGATCATTATAAGGGATATATATTAGGACGACTGGATACAATAGAAACACAAGCAAAAAAAAAACAACAGAACATTTAGATAAATCAACTGGAACTCTTGTATTTGCATCGCCGGTTACGAGCCTTCATCTATCTCCTCTTTCGCAATGGCGATCCAAATAGACTATCGCCATCGCCATCGTCATCGTCATCGCCCTCTTCATCGTTCACCATGAATTCGGTATAGACACGGTGGTATTCCTTATCGTCGATCACTCCACCGTCGTCAGTCGCCGAGTCATCTTCCACGGAATTTGTCAAAGTGGACTCAACCGGTTGCTCCTCGTGCGCCGAAGCAGCATAGTCCTGGTACCAAGGCATGTCCGTGATCACAACGCTAAGCATCCTTTGCAAAGTATCAGTCCCTATTATCATCTCTGTTTTCACCCGTCTGCCCGCAGTGTGGGCCTGCTTCTCCTCTGCTGCGAGAGGAGTCGTGGGACTGGGGACGGGGGTCGGAGGAAGCTCGAGTTCATCCTTGCCTGAGTCTTCGTTTTGAACCTCCGGACGTTCGGCAGGCGCAGGAGCAGGCGAACGAGCAGTCATCGACAGATAGAGTGTCCGTCGTATCGGTATCTTCGACGGTAATGACTGGAACTGGGTGCGGTGCCTGTGTGGTGGTAGACTCAACGGGAGCATGCGCTGAGGCAGGGAGAGAATACACAGAAGCATTAGCAAGGTAGCCTGAAGACTGTTGGAAGTCGTTTTGCGTCTGAAACCCGGCATCCAGTTGAGCTGGAGTCCGTGCAGGAGTTGGCAGGGTTTGTCCAGGAGGCCGGGAGAAGTAGTCGGTCGATGGCCGTGAAGTCGCTCGAGGCCGTGGAAGTGGACGCGACTAGTTGCTCCCCATACCCCGACAGAATATATTTTCGATACCATGGCGTATCCGTGATATCCGTATGACGGGGACATTCCAAGGTGCCGCCACTGGCTTCCTCCTCCGTTTTGGCCTGTTCGCCCACACTGTCAGCCTGCCTCTCATCGGGGAGAAGAGTGGTGGGATGATCGACGATGGGAAACCTGGACTCATCTTCGCCTGAGTCATCGATTCGAACCCTCGGACTTTCGGATCGCACAGGAGCAGTCGACGAAAAGTGGTCGCCAGGTCCCGTAGTATCTTTATCTTCGACAGTAATGAGCGGAATCGAAGGCGGCACCTGAATGGGGATAGGCTGAACGGGTGAACGCGCTGAAGCAGCGAGAGAATGTCCAGAAGGACCAGCAAAGTAGCCTGCAGACGGGTGGAAACCGTTTTGCTGTACTGCAACATCTGGATGGACTGGAGTAAGTCCTGGAGTAGGGAGGGTGTGCCCAGAAGAGTGGGAAAAGTAGTCTGATGAAGGCGCAGAGGCCGTTGAAGCCTTTGTTCAGACGCATCGCGGGGTCTGGTTGTGTCGGAGTACGCGCTGGAGTAGGGAGGGAGTGTCCAGAGGGTCCAGGAAAAGTGGTCCGCCGATTGCCGGAAGCACGTGTGGGACACTCTGCGTATGTGACCTTTCCGCCCGGGCTGTTTTTGAGCATCGTCAACAAGGCGTTAACTGCGATGCGATGAACATGGTACCTCTCACGCGGGTCGCAGATTATCCTCAACATGGAAACGGGAGGGCCAATGGACGCAATACCAGTGCCCTGTAAGGTCCCTGGTCTTCCCTGGTGTAGAACCCTGACAAGCACGATGTCCTTCCCGTTGACAACGCCCCAGCGGTCACCCGGTTGGGTTTCGCAGCGGGTACGATATAATTCTCGAAGGAGAGATATAGACTGAAAAACGATTACGAGGCTGCTAGGGCGTTGATTTTGACCCTTGTATCGATCAACAACCGGCCTGGTATTGCTACTGAGAACAGGGCTCGAAAATTCAATGAAAATACAACTCACGAGACTTGAGAAGACTGGTGCACGCTTTGTGATGCGACCCCGCTTCTATAATTCTAGAAATAATAGGTAAGTGACAGCGATGTCGAGAAACAACGAAACTTACTGCATTTTGTGCTTGCCAGCCTTGATGACGTGCATTCTGGTCGTAGTTGTCCCGCGGGACCTGAGAACGCGAAGCACTGCTTCCACTTTGAGTTGAAGGCCTATACGATCGACAATCAGCTGCGAACAAACAAGCGACGCGTAGTATCTTACGTGTGTCGGTGAGATTGTGTTCTTGACAGCCTCGAACTGGTCGTCTACATTGAAATCCATCCCAGCCATCTATAAGAACAATGAGTGGTGATCCAAGAGATGAAAGGAGAAGCTAACCGCGAAGTAGTGGCCATTAGACGGCCCAGCGGAGGTGGATGGCGCGCGAATACCCTGGGAATGGTGTGAGATAAAATACTTTGGAAAACATCACTATACTTACCCCAGTCACGTTGAAATTAGGATGGGGAACACGCGACGGAGCCAAGGCCGTTTGTTGAGTGCTCGTGTTGGACCTGAAGCGCTTCATCGCCCCCGAAGAGGATTCCCCAAACCTGCTGTCGTCGTCGTCGTCGCTATCGACGGCCTTGCGTTTGCCAGCGGCCTTAGCTGACAGACCTCCGTACTGATTCTGTTCCTCAATACGCAGTCCAGCCGAAGCATTGCCACCAGACAACACTGCGTGACCTGGCGCACCGCAAAACTGCTGTGGTGCCGCATAACGGAAGCCCTGAGGAGTATTGGCTATCCGGTGAAATTCACCGGGGTACGTTGACTGTTCAGGATAAAGTTGGCGGGGCCAGTAGGATTCGGGTGGCTGATCATGATATGCGTGGCTGGTGTATTGTTGCATAGGCTGCTGTTGCCTGGAAATGTATTGAGGGGTTCCGCGGACGGAACGTGCAACGGATGGAGGGTCCACCGGAGTTGCGGTGTTTTGTACCGACTGTTGGTACGGATTCGAAGGAGCGTTGGAATGGGGGATGAGGAACGGGGGGAGAACTCCACTCCTCGTCGGAGTAGGTTTTACTTTCTGGTTGTGGTTGGTAGGAAATTGAAGGAGCGTTGGGCTGGGAGTAATAATTGTTGGTGGAATCTCGCTGAGCATCGGCGTACATTATATCTTGTTGTTGGGGAAAGTGAGAGTGGGCAGCACCGGGCTGAAACTGGTTCTGTTGAAGCGGCATGCCGTTCGCGTCCACGGGATATTGGTAGGGAGTCTCCTGGACATCCTGGGGTATATGTGGAGGCAGTAGGCTTGACATTAGAGAGTGGGAGAGGGAGGAGAGATTATGAAGAAACGATTGCGAGAGCGCGTTGATAGTCTAGAGCGATAAGCACAATAAATGCTGGTCGCGGTACAGATGGTGTTGAGTTAAAAAGTGGCAGAGTTGGATGTTATATAGAGCAAAGATAAAGTTTACACAAGTTTGCCCATGAACGCGAAAACATGTGACCTTGCTTCGTCGGTTTGGTGGCAAGCCGTGGGAGCTCCAGCTCGGGCGTTTTGTCCGAGATGATTGTTAGCAAGTCAACCACACACCAGCCCATTCCTGAGGCCGATGCTATGTAGCTGCTGAAAGCGTGTTCGAAAATATGATCACAAGCCGAGTAGAAACACCAGCAGCACATCATAGTGACTAGTATTGAATCCCCCAGACGTAGGACAATATGCTTCAACCTTTGAGCTTCGGTACGATTGGATATTTCCCCGTCACTCACCGCCCAACAACGCACGATGCGTCAATGTCCCCAAAGTAAACAAGCAGCAGCCATACTCACGCTCAGATGCATAAGAGGAGTTCTCTGCAGTGAAACCGATTTATAGACCGCAGACAGGTGATAAAGATGGTGCGGGGCAGTGACCAAGTGCTGAGGACAAAAAAGATATCAGGAGAGAAGCTTGTCTTGACCAATTCAATTTTTGGATAAAAAGGACAACTGAGCCAAGTCAAAAGAGCGAGCACTAATCAGATCGTCGCATTCTCAAGAATTGTTTCGGTACAAATTGATTTAACCCAACTCGTACTGCAAGAAGGGGTGACCCAGGGCTACTAACGGTGCCGGCACCAGAGTCGAAAGGATACAGTATTGAAAGAGAACGCAAAGCTGGAAATCGTTCTGGATATCTGCTTGCCAGAGATTGACGAGAGCATAATAGTAGCATAAGCAAGGTTGATGTTGAAAACTGATACCACAGTGTTCAGTCACGTTCGATATTCCCTTTTATGGAAACTGTGGACAACGGAGGGTTCGGACCGTTACTCCGAAGCTTGAGTAAGTTAAGTACATCTTTTAGAAGATCTATCTTACTATCTTACATGTACGACAACATTATTTTCATTCACGATTCACTGTGGGCCGTGAGTTGTATTATGCTCGACTCTTTCTCCATCTCTTGAGCTCCTCGATACTATTTTTCTAGCAACTACGTACTGCCGTTGAGATGAAAGAGTCGATTCATTCTCGCAACTTTCAAGTACAAGTTTTACAAAGCCTATACTCTCCGAGACCTGAATGTTATTATCTACTTATACTTCGCTGTCTCAATCGCTGATGCTCAGCACATTTACTCTGGGAGTGCCTGCATCCGCCAAGGCCTTCCTTGAATCATTCTCTATGTCCGAGGGCCGGTGGAAGAAACATAGCCAATAATTATAACGCCGTACTGCGACAGGCCGTCAAGGCTATACTATCCGGAGATTTCCCAGGCATTATAAAGGCGGTTCCTCTCGTACGAGATATCTCCGAGTCCGTATTTCATCCATACGGTTGTGTTTCTCAAAAA